ACACCTGCACACAACTATGACAAGGAAGATATCCACTGTCTACCTCTGGCCTCCACATACATAACTGCACACAACTATGACAAAGAAGACACCCACTGTTTACCTCTGGCCTCCACACACACACACCTGCACACAACTATGCCCACACATATGCAAACATGTGTATACACACACACACACACACACACACACACACACACACACACACACACACACAGTATTTTCTTTAGCTATTTCCTGATTTCCTTTAGGTTTTCTTGTGGAGTCACCCTTCTAGGTGAAGAAGCCACTGGACACTGACTCGACACATACCTCCCATATGCCTCCTACCTGCCAGTCATGCCCTAACCCAGTAGTACAGCTGACTCTCCTCGGCACACACCACAGCTTAGTGAGGCCCTCTGCAATCACCCTTTCCATTTGGCAAACTGGGAAGGAACAGAGCAGCAAGCGGTTACTGAGGCTCAAAGGACCCAAAGAACAAGAACACGCTGTCTGGAGCACGCTCCTGGAATCTGGCCTTCCAAAGGCAGCCCCTAGACCAGGGTCTCTCAGGGGATGCCCAAACTATTGACAAACCGCTGGTCACACTCACAGGCTTGCTCTCAATCATGGCCACAGGGTGGAGCCTGAAACGGTGAGTCACTCTAAGTGACTAACACCTGAGTCACTCACTGCAAGAGGTGACTCAGAAGCCCACAGCTCTAGGAGCCACTCACAGCCCCCATGCCCACTTGGTTGTGGAGGGCTCACCGCTGTGCGACTGTCACATCAACACACACTGTGTGCTCTGAGGCCTTGTGGTGCTGCACCCCGACGGGCACTCACTCACTCACCTGAGTGCGTAGGTGTAGCCGGTGTTCTCCGGCACACACTGGGGGGGAGTGTATGTATGTAGCCGAGAAAAGTCCATGTTCACCACCTCAGACCATGCTGCAGAGGGAACAGAAGAGGACTAGGTATTAAAGGGTTAGCAGAAGTCCAGAGACAGGACTGGCAGCGCCACTCTGATTGTAACACATGACAGTTTTTCTCAGTCCCAAGGCAAAGCTTCTGTCACGTGTCAGCTCCAAATGTGCACATAAAAACGAAACTCTGGCCACACAAGCATACCCACCAGGGTTGGATTCCAGAACCCGCATAACGCCAGACACAGACGTGCATCTGTAACCCCAGTGTTCTGATGGTGAGACGGGGGAAGATAGGAGAATTCCCAGAAGGGTGCAAGGCAGCCAGCCTGGCGGACACAACCACTGTCTCAAACAAGGTGGAAAACAGGGAACAACACTTGTGGCTATCCTCTGACCTCCACACTTCTGCACCTGCACACGCGCGCACACACTATAGAACACCCCCCCCACACACACACACATATGCACACACAACCAAAACCAAAAGATAACAAGCGGGCGAGGCATGGTAATAATCCTAACACTAGGGAGGAGGCTGAAGCAGAAGAATTACCTTGAGTTTGAAGCCAGCATAGTCTACAAGTGAGAACGTCACTAGAATAAAAACTAGCAAGAGAAATCTTGGGCCAGCTTATAGTGACATAAACCAGGCACTTTCCAAGAAAACCTGACAGTGACTCCAGAGCCCTTTTCTGAAATGTTGAAATACGGCTGGGCGGTGGTGGCACACGCCTTTAATCCCAGCACTTGGGAGGCAGAGGCAGGTGGATCTCTGGGAGTTCAGGCCAGCCTGGGCTACAAAGCAAGTTCCAGGCCAGCCAGGATTGTTATACACTGAAACCCTGCCTGGGGGGGGGGGGGGGGATATGTTGAAATACGGCTTTCCATTTCCTCCTTCTTTTTTTTTTTTTATTTTTGTTTGTTCACCGAGACAAGGTTTCTCTGTGTAACAGAGCCCTGGCTGTCCTGGAACTCACTTCGTAGACCAGGCTGGCCTTGAACTCACAAAGATCTGCTGCCTCTGCCTCCCAAGTGCTAGGATTAATAGTATAAGCCACCACACCTGGCTAAAACGTTTTTTATTTTATTTTAATTTTTGAGATCTCTCTTATGTAGTTCTGGAAGTCACTGTATAGACCAGATTGCCCTCAGACTCACAAAGATACCCCTGCCTCTGCTTCCTGAGTGCTGGGGTTAAAGGTGTGTGCCACCATATGGGGGCCTGTGACTTTCCATTTCTTGAAGGTGTGGTATGCCCTCAGTCTTCTGGAGTAAGGACTAGCATTGAGAAAAAAATGACTAATTTTTGATCCCACAGGCAGAGAGCAGCACTGCCATCCTTTGCTGCAAAGCTGAGGTTCGCACGAGCACCCCAGAACCAAACAAGAAAGCCCCGCCGTGAAGAACAGGAGGGATAAGCAGAAGTTGGAGACTTTTATACCTTCCCTCCCTTAGGCAAACATAAAACTGTGGTGAGCTCATTGTTTCTCAGGTTCTCATCTTCTCTTCTTTACAATGACTCAAGTCTTCCTCTGGCTAAAAGGTACATGTGGGCAAGCACATACACATTTAATGGAATGTACTCGAAGTCCTCATAAAGGTGGGAGGCAGCTCAGTGGGACTGTGCTTGAGACTGCAAACCGACCATTCGCAAGGTCCCAGGCTCCACCCAGAAAAATAAAACAAAATGAAACAACTCCTCATAGTAATGGGAATCGTAACCCATTGATTATTAGGGAGGGGCTGAGGATTCAGCTCAATGGTATTTAGCTCAGTAGTAGAGCCTTGCCTAGCAAGTGCAAGGTCCTGGGTTCAGTCCTCAGCCCTGGGGGGGGGGGGGAGAGAAAGAAAAGAAAAATCTAGGGAACCGCAGCAGTGGCTGATACCTGCAACCCTGGCCCTCTGACCTCTGAGGCAGGAGGAGTGCTGTGAATTCCAGGCCAGCCTGATCTACAGGTAAAACCCTGTCTAGGCAGTGGTGGTGCTCACCTTTAATCCCAGCACTCAGGAAGCAGAGGCAGGCAGATCTCTGAGTTCAAGGCCAGCCTGGTCTACAGAGCAAGGTCCAGGACAATCAGAGCTACACAGAGAAACCCTATCTCAGAAAAACAAAACAAAACAAACCTAAAGTGTTGTGTTTTTTTTTGTTTGTTTAGTATGTTCTAAATTTTCCATTAGTGTTTTACCATGGGTGTTGTGTCCCCTGGAACTGGAGTTACAGACAGTTGTGAGCTGCCGTGTGGGTGCTGGGAATTGAACTCTAGTCCTCTGGAAGAACAGCTAATGCTCTTAACCTGAGCCATCTTTCCAGCCTGTTTGTTTTTTTAAGAGGGACACAAAACCAAGCAAAACCAACCAACCAACCAGAACTAAGAAAGCCAGGTATGATGGTTCAAGTCTGTAACTCCAGAGCTCAGGAGGTGGAGACAAGAGGAACACTGCCATTTTGAAGCCTGCTGGGCTACAAAGCACAATTCTGTCTCATAAAATAGAGTTAAAACCAAATAAATAAAAGAGAAGAAAATAAAATGGAAAATAGTAATATCCTGAACAAAAAAATTATATATGAATGACAGTTATAAGCCATGTTAAAGCACTTTCATCACACTTTCTTTCCTGTTTAAAGATTTACTTTTTTTATGAGTATGAGTGCTTTGCCTGCATATATGTATTCGAACCCTGTGCATGATTGGTCCTCACAGAAGCCAGAAGAGGGTGTTGTATCCCCTGGAACTATGGTCACCGATGGCTGTGGTGCTGGTAAGTGAACCTGGGTCCTCTGCAAGAGCAGGAAGTGTTCTTACCCACTGAGCCACCACTCCAGTCCTAACACTATTTTCCTTAAAATAGCCCAAATATTCCTTTAAAAATAAGACACTCATAAAGGCTACCATATCTGTATGGTATCTCTAAGGTGACACATGCCTATCACCCCAACATCTGGGAGACACAGGCAGGCGGATCAGGAGTTCTAGGCCAGCCTGGAATATGAGACTGAGACTGTGTGCTACTACAACACTGATATTCATTCTCTCTCTCTCTCTCTCTCCATCTCTCTCTCTCTCTCTCTCTCTTTCCCTCCCTCCCTCCCTCCCTCCCTTCCTCTCTCCCTCTCTGTAGAAAAGAAATCTCATGGTGTCTTCCAGGCTGTCCTCCAACTCATGGCTCAAGCAATCTTCCTGTCTCAGCTTCCCGAGCAGCTAGGACAGCAGGCACTTGCTACCACACCCAGCAGATCTAAGAACCTCACAGCACACCTGAGCCTGCCAGCCACAGTCCGGGCAGGGGAGGGGACATGTGAACAACCTTCTGCAGACAACACTAACTGCTGAACCCAATAATGCCTGATACCTGCTCAGCTGCTCCATCCCCCTCGCTGTAAGTTTAGAGCACTTGAACAGACCCAAAGGAGAATGTCAAGGCACAGAACTTGACGACGCTTCAATGGCTCCAACCTCCTGGCTGGCTCCGGGGCCTTGAGCACACTGCCTCCCAGCCCCCCACCAACAACAGGGCCCCACCCTGGTAGAATGTAATAATGGATTCTGACCAGGTGACCGGAACATTCTGGGCCGAGTGACAGCATCAGTAACCACTCCTATTTCCATTCTTCAGGACAGGTGTTCAACTACTTCTTGTCATCTCGTTATTAACATCCAAATCAAACTTCCCACCTTCATTCTCGAAAGGGACTTTCCACTGTCCAGTCTTCTGGCAAATGCATTATTTGGCAGGGTCAAGCCTGAGCCCAAAGCCACCAAGTTCTCTACAATGGCAGTCTGAACACCCTGGTGGATGAGGCATTTGTGGCCTGGCTCAACCCCCAGGACATGCAAAGCAATGTCAAAATCCAATGGCTAATGCTTGCAAGCTCTAAAGAGGATAGGAGACAGGGATCACTGGGGGTAATAGTAGAGGGAGACTCACCCTGTCATTCCACTCACACCACTTATGTGGGACAACAAAATCTCACACAGCCAAGACTTGGTTCCCAAAGCTGGGGAGCAGGGACATGGAAGGGACTACATATGCATTTCCATCTGGAGAAATACCTCAGCATGCTCTCACCCATGAAGCCAGATGAAAGCTCCAGGACGGAGTAGCCCACACATCCACTGCACACCCTGGCCACTGCGCAGCTCATCTCAGTTCCCAGCCAGTGGAACACCCCATGCCACCATCTAAGGAGACCTAACTTGCTCTCAGCACAAATCTGCAAGAACAAAGACAACCAGGGGCCACATGGCAGCTTCCCATCCAAGGCTGGAAGGTCCACAGAAGGGAGCAGGAGACCGCAACTGGGGATGGCGGGCTCTGAAAAAGGTGTTTGATGAACTGAGATGCAAAGGTGATGGATGCCACACAGAAGACTAGTGTGAACACAAGCTGAGTCTAGGCAGCCAAGTCTGGGGCAGGACAAGGAGGAAGCAGTAACCGTAACATCAGGCTTGACAGACCCTGACACCTCCTCTCCCCCATTAAACCTGATGCTTTTTTTAAGAAATTTTTTTATTCATTTTACATACCAACCACAGATCACAGATCCCCCTCTCATCCCTCCTCCTGCTCCCCCGCAAACCTGATGCCTCTTGAATCCAGAAAGCCCTGGGATCACATTCCCCAGAGAAAGCCTACCAAACAAAGCTGTGTGCAAATCATCATTCTCCCTGTTTACCAATACTGCTGAGTGAGGACACTGACCACCTGCCCTGGGCCCAAACTCCCCAGTTATGTCGTCTATCGATGATCCAGGCAATCACCCCAGAAAACATGACTGCACACCCAGCTTCACATACATGAGCATGCACACACATATATTCTCCAAAGAACAAGAGGCCAAATTCGTAAAGGCTCTGGAGGTGCTGCACAAAATTTGCAGACAGGAGAACAGCCCACTCCTTCTCAAGCTCACTGCAGATCTACATTACAGGACAACAGTTACCATTAAATTTTATTTTACTCGGGCTGGAGAGATGGCTCAGTGGTTAAGAGCATTGGTTGCTCTTTCTGAGGACCTGGGTTCAATTCTCAGTACCCACATGGCAGCTCACAACTGTCTGTAACTCCGGTTCCGGGGACCCAACACCCTCACACAGTCATACACACTAATGCACACACGCACAAAAAAAAATTTTTTTTAAATTTACTCTTTGGCACAGACCTGCACACTCAATGCTCTTCAGCAGGACGCTGAGGCAGAAGATTGTGAATTCAAGGCCAGCCTGGGCTATATAGATAGAGTAGGATGATGTCATAAAACCAAAACAGAGAGGACAGAATGGACTCCACACATAAGACAGAGCCTGATAGACACACACTGCAATGTTAGCTGCAATTACTTTGTTGGAATATAAGCTATGTTTAAGTTAAAAAAGAGAATGGTTCAAGCTCACAGCTTGTGAGTGATTGAGAGAGAGAGAGAGAGAGAGAGAGAGAGAGAGAGAGAGAGAGAGAGAGAGAGATAATGGGCTGGTAAGATGGCTCAGCAGGTCAAAGCACTTGGAGCCAAGCCTAATAAGCTGAGTTCAAACCCTGGGCCCCACACGGTAGAAGGAAAGACCTGAGAAGTGACTCCTCCACAAGTCACCTCTGACCTCCACACATCACACCACCAAATGAGGGGCTCCCTTCTGTCTGTCTCTCTCATACACACAGAAAGAAACAACAAATGAATGGGAAAGTTTAAAAATAAATTCTTAAAGAAGATTTGCTTCCTCCTAGGCCAGCAATCCCAGAGATGAAAGATTAACTCAACCCTGCCCTGAACAAAAGACAAAAGTCCACTGATCAGCATGGATGGCTCGGCCACACCTGGACCCTCACAAGCTCATGCCACCACCTACAGGCCAAATGTCATCTGCTGCTCCTCCTGGTGTCCGAGGACAGGCTCAGCACATCCACACTGCTCTATCACCAAGGCCCCCTCATTGCTGACCAGTCTGCCTCCTGGCTACCCCTGAAGAGTCCGCTCTGCGGGGCCTCAGTCTGTGGGACAGACGGATGGGACGTGACCTGCACCTCTGGACTGAAGGGCAGCAAAACCCTAAGTGAAGAAATGCAACCGTTTCCCACAGCACCAGAAAACCCTGAAAAGTGCCTGTTGGCTACCAGAGGTCCCGTCACTCCTCCAGCCTTTTGGGCTAACCGAACCCGTGTCACCACGGACATGGCACCACGCTCCTCACAAGTGTCCTGGCCTCTAAAAGGATTTGCTGGAAGTCAACTTGGTGCTGAGTGCAGGCTCCAGACAAAGCCGACACAGGAGAATCTCTGCCTTCCAAGCCATCCAGGCCAGGCCTGCCTTTGTCCTGTGCTTCAGATGCCCAGGAGAACACAGGCCAGAGAAGGAAACGGTCCAATGCAAGTTCTGGTGCCAGTCTAAGGATGTGCTTACTGTTTGTGTTTCTTTTCTAATGCCAAGGGTAGAACCCAGGGCCTTCACATGCCAGGCAAATGCTCTACCCCTGAGCCATGCCACCAGCCCTGGAAGGGGTTTCGTAAGCAGGCATATCACTGCAGGATCCTTCAGCCACACTGATTCTCGCTCCACACCACTCCCCTTACGAGACCCACATACACCGAGGATGAAAATACAAAATTCTTGTCTGAATGCTTTGGTCCAAAGCGAGTCTCAGTCCTTCCATCCTATCACCCGAATCTTTGCCACCTAGAGTGCCTATACTTATTTTACAACAAAACAGAAAACACAGCAGGAAATTCTCAGGAAAAAATTAAATGTAGCTTCATGCAAACAACACAAACCTAAAACACAGAACAGAACTGCAGCTCTCAAATAAAACAAGCACAGTCTTTCCTCTAGTCCCTGCTGGGGGTCACAGCTGAGGACAGCTGCCTGGGTTGGGCCTGAGGCCACACAAGAGATTTGATTTGCACCCACAGTGATGAAACCCTACGTGAAAAATAACAGAGCACTTGGTCTCAGAGACACTCTAACAGGCAAACTTAAAAACTGATGGCAGTGCTGGAGAGATGGCTCAGTGGTTAAGAGCACTGCTCTTCCAGAGGACCCTGGTTCAATTCCCAGCACCCATGTGGCAGCTCACAATTGTCTGTAACTCCAGTTCTGGAGGATCACACAGACTTACATGCAGGCAAATGTACACCAATGTACATGAAATAAAAATAAATAAAATTTTGCCAGGCGGTAGTGGCGCACGCCTTTAATCCCAGCACTCGGGAGGCAGATGCAGGCAGATCTCTGTGAGTTCGAGGCTAGCCTGGACTACAGAGCAAGATCCAGGACAGGCACCAAAACTACACAGAGAAACCCTATCTCAAAAACAAAAAAAACCAACAACAATAAGAAAAAAAGAAAAAGAAAAGAAAGAAAAACTGGTGGCAGTACCTCTTTCCGTATCTGGGACGGTGGAGGATGCTGTAGTTGAGGTTGGCACCTCCTGGCACTGTCAATAAAGTACACCCATACAAGCCACACTGTAGCTTTGGCCAAAAATCACAAGGACCACGGCATGTCTTAAAATCCCTTTCCACACCATCTGAGGTCAAACCCCAGAGACTCAGGTCTGGGAGTCCATCCCACTACAATCCAAGGCTGTGGGGAGTACAGGAGGCCAGGCCCTCCTCCGGCTTCCCAGGAAGCACCATCTGTCATAGACCTCATCCCTCAGCGGTACTCTGAAACCCCATCACACCCTGACTAATAGTGGGTGCTCCCCCACTTCACTCCATCCGCCCCTACAAGACCTTCCTGAAGAACCAGGGAAGCACAACCCCACGGACCCAGCACACGCCTCCTATACCCACGTGTCCCATCTCCACCTCACTGACTCGCCATCACCCAGAACTTGGCCCTGCACAGCAGCCCGGTGCTACCCAGCAGGTTCCATGACTATGTCCACTGTCAAGAAAAACACTTGGAAAAATGTGTTTCTTGGTTTCTTTTTTGCAGTGCAAAAGATGAAACCCAGGGCATTTGACAGGCTAGGGAAGGGCTCTAGAGCTGAGAATATCCCAGAGTAACTTCTGTAAAATCAAATTTCTGCTAAGCCTAACCTACTACTACAGAGACTGATTCAGGAGGATTGTGAGTTCCAAGCCCACAAGACTACATAGCAAGATCCTTCTAGGCTCAAAAACAAATAATTCTGCCATACCTATTGAAAAAAATCAGTATTAATTAATAAAAACACACACACACACACACACACACACACACACACACACACACACACGCACGCACGCACGCACGCACACACATGCATTTTAGACCAGATTTGGTAGGGCATGCTTGTAACTAAGCATTGGGATGGCTGAGGTAGGAGCATAGAGAATTAGAGGCCTGCCTGGGCTACAAAATCAGACGCTACTTAAAAAAAAAATGAGAGCCAGGTATGGTGGTGCACACCTATAATCCCATCCCCCAGAAGGCAGGAGGATCTCTGAGTTCCAGGTCAGTTTGGTCTACACAGAGAGTTCTAGCCCAGCCAGGATTATAAAGGGAGACCCTGTCTCAAAAATAAATAAATAAATAAACAAACAAACAAATTAATTAATTAAAAAACATCAGTACTACATAACAGTGTGTGGTGGGACAGGTCTGTAATCCCAGCTACTTGAAAGGCTGAGACAGGAAGATCTCAAGTTCAAAGCCTGCCTGTACTACATGAAACTCAGCCAGCCTGAGCAACTTAGCAAGACCCTATCTCAAAATGTATTTTAAAAAAAAAAAAAAAAAGGACTACAACCAGGCACGGAGCTCAGTGACAGCACTAACCACGCATGTGTAAGGACCTGGGTTCAACACCCAGTCCTGAAAAACCAACAAAGCAGAAAGCAGCAGCAGCAGGGCAGGCAGGCAGGCAGAGGCACTCTGAACCTCACCGGCCCTGAGGGAACCCTTCCCCTGCTGGGGGAACCACTGGTCCAGCCCTTTCACACCACTTGTCTGTGACCTGCAGCTTAATTCTGCAAAGGTCAAAGGCATCTGTCACAGAGATCTTGTCTCCAATCTATGACCCACACCTCCAAAAGAACGGGGAGCACCTGCCTGACCAGCACAGACCATGTTGCTTGATGAGCAGCGTCCATCAGAGCCGAGCACTACAGTGAGAGCCGCTCCTCTGTCACCCATGAAGGGACTAGTTTCAGATGCAGAGCTAGCATCTCAGATTCGTCATCGGAAAATCTAGTGGAGGAGGCGGTCCAGAATGGCAGTGAGTTCCAAATTTGGGGAGTAGGGAGGAGAAAACAAGAGCATGTTTTCAATCAAGAAGGTGCATGGCAACCCTCCAGCTAGTGTACAACAGGACCAGCCCCTTGAGCATTCACCAGAGCAACAGGGCACTCCCTTCTCCAGGCACTCAGGAGCAGCAGCCTGAGGGATAAATGCCCTGGGAGGCATCCTGCCAGTCCCTGGGACTATCTTGCCTCACTTGAGACCTTTAAGGTAGGGCAAGAGTCCTGAGGCTGACTTCTAAAAATGCACCGTTGTTTACTGGGAGAAAATGCAGACTGGCCTGGTTTATGGGATGTGACCCCAAAAGGAGCAGAGTATCTAGGAGAGTACTAGAGACTCACAAACCCAGAAGGGTGAAGCACACGCCATTAAATACCCAGGTTCTCTGAAAATAGGTCACTCAGTAAGCTCCAGCCAGCTTGTCCCTGTGACAGATGAGCACAGGGCCAGCAAGATGGTTCAGTAGGCAAAGGCACTTGCCACAAAGCCTACTGACCTGAGTTGGATCCCAGGAACCGGGTGCAAGGAGAGAACGGACTCGGGCGAGCTGTCCTCTACTCTCCAAATGGGTGCTATGGCACTACACCTACACACAGAATAAATAGTGTTGAACACAGATGTCAGATTCCATGGAAAGGCAAGTATGCATGGAACAGAGAGGAAGAGCCAAACGGAAAGGAACTTTTGGAACCCAGATGAATGAGAGCCAACTTGAGCCAGAAAAGGCCCGGAGAGCTTTTGCAACGAAGAATGCCAGAAGGCACCCAGATTTCATCGAAGAACCCCAAAGACTCAAGAAGGAATGGCAACCATTTAACACCTGGAAGTGAAGGTGTCAGGAAAAGGAAGAGCCTGGAGGTAGCTAGGCTAGAAGTCTGTTGGAGATGCCCTCAAGCAAAACCACATGACCATGGCAGTGGGTACAGAAGTGCACTGGAGAATCCCCACACCCTGCATGCAGAACACAACACTCAATAAGCTAGGTATGGTGGCTCACGTCTGTATTCCCAGCTCTTGGAAAGTAGGACTCCAAGTCTGAGCTACAAAGCAGACCTCACCTTGCAAAATTAAGAAAATAAAAATAGCAGGGTGGTGGTGGCACACAACTTTTAATCCCAGCACTGGGGAGACAGAACCAGGTGGATCCCTGTGAGTTCGAGGTCAGCCTAGTCTACAAACAAGTTCTAGGACAGCTAGGGCTGTTTGTTACACAGGGGAACCCTGTCTCAAAAAACAAAACAAAAACAAGTAAATAAATTTAAAAGTGTGTGGGTGTGGCTTAGCTAGTACAATGCATACTTCTCATGCCCAGAGCTCTGGGTTCCATTCCCAGCACTGCATAAACAAGGTGAGGTGGTGCACTCGGGAGGTAGAGACAGGAAGAGCAGAAGTTAAGGGTTGTCCTCAGTCACATAGCCAGGTCAGTCTGGACTAAAGGCTGTCCAAACAGTTTTTCAACACTCCAAACAGGCATCCATGAAAAGCCCACAGTCAACATCACACCCACAGGTGAAAAGACAGAGTGCTCCCTAAGATCAAGAGAGAAGAGGACAGGCAGCAGTGTTATCTGACACTGTCCTGAAGTTCCAGCCAGAGCAATTACTCAAGGAAAGTGAGGGAAAGGTGTGCGGACCGGAAAGGCAGTAACAGTAAGGCAACCTTTCCTCTCAGCCGACTAGATTTCATATGCAGAACATCCTAAAGCACAACCGAGAATGATGGCTGGTGAATCCAGCAAAGCTGCAGGGTACACAGCCACACAAGGCCAGCTGTACTTCCACATGCTAGCAATGAGCAAGGTCAAACGGAACTGAGAATTCCACAACAGCATCAGAGGGGGAAAAAAAAAAAAAAAAAAAAAAAAAAAAAAAAAAAAAAAAAAAAAAAAAACGAGCAAAGCCTTGGGTATCAATTTAACTACCCAAGGGCAGAACCTGGGTACTAAAAGCTACAAGGAAATGTAAAAAGGCCCACGAAGAACAGAAAGACTCACTATCCTGAAAAGCAATGCTGCACAAATGCACTGTGGCCCTTGTCAATACCCCAAAAGGCCCTTTCTGCAAACCTGGAGAAAACATCCCTCATTTTTTAAAATAATTTATTTTTATTTTATGAGCAGTGATTAGTGTTTTGCCTGTATGGATGTCTGTGTAAGGGTATCAGATCCCCTAGAATTGGAGTTACCGACAATTGTGAACTGCCATGTGGGTGCTGGGAATTGAACCCTGGTCCCTTGGAAGAGCA